GATAACATTTTATCAAATAAGCAGGTTACTATGGGGGAGGGAATAGATCAACACAGATGAAACCAATAAAAGATGATGAAAGAAAGCTAGTTATCAAAGAGGCGAAACAAAGGAAACGATGGGTTGACCACTTCAGAGAGCTCTTAAAATCGTTCGCCACCTACACTTCGCCCAGAAATACCACCAGCAGCCTAGTCACAGAACTACAACTGAACACAAGCACTCCAACGAAAGTTGAAGTCCTGAACGTCATAAAACTGCTGAAATCCGGGAAAGCAGCAGGACCAGATGGAATTGTTCCAGAAGCACTGAAATAAGACGCAGAGACAACAGCGGGGGTGTTCACACCGTTATTACATAAGGTTCGGAAGGAAGGAAAGGTACCTGCAGATTGGAAGAAGGGCTACCTTGTCAAACTCCCAAAGGAGGGAGACCTGAATGTTTGCAAGAACCGGCGAGAAATCATGCTGCTGTCCACCCATAGCAAGCAAAATATTAGGCCGCATCATCCTGAAGGGATTAAAGGATTCAAAATTACGACCAGAACAGGCTGGATTCAGGAAGTAAAAATCATGCGCGGACCAAATCTCAAAGCTACGCTTCAGCATAGAACGGAGCATAGAATGGTAGTCAGCTCTCTACCTTACCTCAACTTTATTGACTTTCAAAGTGACTTCGACAGAGTCGACTGACAGGTGATATGGCAGCCAGCTGATTCAACACTACGAAGTACCGCAAATCCTTTTCAATCTAATTCAACAACTATATGAAGAGGCCACATGCCAAGTGATCCACAATGGAAAGCTCATTGATGCCTTTGAAGTGAAGATAGAAGTAAAACAAGGTTGCAACCTACTAACACCGATGATCTTCTGATTGTGGTCGACTGGACCATGCAACAAACTGTGAGGAGCGAGAAGAAGAGGTTACGCTTGACCGGGGAAAAGATCATAGAAGATTTGGATTTCGCCGATGACTTGTGTCTAATGTCACACAAACTTGAAGATCTACAAGCAAAATTCAGCAAGACGGAACTTCAAGTGAACGTAGAGAAGAAAGAGGTGATGAAGATACCCAACCAACACCACCACCACCACCAACAACAACAAGCTCCAATCATCATGAATTGGAGAAACTTAAAGGAAGTAGACTCTTCCACCTACACCTACACCTATTCAGGCAGCACTGTTTCAACCACAGGTGTCACAGGCACAGATGAGGACGTCAAAGACAGCAAGACAGGCATTCATTAACCTGAAACCAGAGCAGAGATCCTCTGCACTCCACTCAGCATAAGGTGTGAACAAGATCCAGATTTTCAACACCAACATCAGTCAAGACAGTGCTTCTATATGATGGTTGAGAGACTTGGTGCATTACGAAAAGCATTTCCAACAAACTACAGACATTCATCAACAAGCGAATACGCTGGCTCGTTACTCGTGCTCAGATGGCCAGAATAATAAGAATAAGGAACAAGGAACTCTTCGTGACTGTCAACGAACCAAGGAAGCAAGAACCTATCGCTCAACAAATATGCATTGGAAGGAAGTGGAGATGGACTGTATTGGGCATGCACTGAGAAGACCATTCGGCGACATCATGTGCCAGGCCCGTGCGTCCAGTGTGATTTAGATGGAAAACGGCGAGTTGGGCGTCCGATGGGGTGGTGACATGGAGGAGGTCGTGTGAGGAGGAAATGAGAGCTTGTGGACAGTCGTGGAACCAGGTTCAAAAGATTGGAGAGAAGAGAGTGGAATGGAGACGTGCTAGTGAAGCCGTATGTTCCACAAGGAACCCAAAGGACAAATAATATAATAATAATAATTGTGTTTAGCTAAATTCTATTTTTCGCAAGTCTAATTGACCCCAAACGTCTAGTTGGACCGATTCACTTGACCCTGAAATCATTGCATGGAACTTGGTTGATTGAAATATTTTACCAAGTTGGTTCTTTTGAATGCTAAAGCCAAATTGTTTATATCCGAATGAGTTCATCTGTGTGAATGCCACCCTGATTCAGAATCCTGAGTAAAGTTTCTGATGTACATTCCTCATAGGGTAACACAGTGCAGACTGGGATCTCCTTTTAACTTGTGTTGTCATTATTATTCGTACTTGTATTACTGTTATGATTTCGTTTCTTGTGTGTTCGTATGAACTTCTTAATAAACTGTAGAGGATAATCATTGACCATTAGCACTTCTCTCACGTGCTTCAGTTCCTTGCTCGAGTCTTAACTCTGACTAGTTAGTTTTCTAGCTCTATCATGTAGACATTTGACTCAACCTGCCTTAACTGACATTGGATGAGATGACTTGAAGTGTAGATACCTGCTGGAATGTGTTGGTTTCCTGTAGACGGTAGTACCCAAACCATCATCTATCTTTCGTTTTATCCTGCAATCCAACATAGGTAATTCTCCTTGTTCATATTCTACCTCCTCACAAGTGAATTGGATTTCGCCTGCTACTGTGTTTATATATGTGAGGAAGTTGTCGATATGTTCTGATTTCAATACAGTATTAAATGTGTCATCTACATATAGCCACCATATGTTACATGCAGTATTCAACGCTTGTAAAGTCATGTTTTCTGTGCATAACTGTGCATAAATATACCTACTATGGAAAGAAGGTATAATTCAGCGGAGAAAAGATTCTTTTTCGACGATATTATTTTCTAAATTTGGACCAGAATAGTATTCATCTATATCACAACCATATAACAGTGTGTTAGTTAACAATAGGGTATAATGTGGTCATTAAAGTAGTGTTGAAATCCGATATGAAGAATGTAAAGTACTTAGGTAATCATCTTTTAGACGGTGGAGAGAACGAGAAGGGAAATGTGTATGACATGGTGAAAAATGTTGGTAAATGTGAAATGTAAAATCTTAGTGTTCACTAGACAGATATAAGCAAGGAAGAAGGAAGAAGGAAATCAAGGTCATAGTGGAGGTAATAAAAGCTAACTAACCAATCAGAATGAAATTGAAAAATTGCAGATTAGACCCTATTTTCACTTCAATCACCAAACCCATAACAAACGATAATGATATGTTTGAAAACATGAGTATTGTCAACAAAATAAACTTTATGACCACACTGTGCACAGACTAATAGCTATTTTCTTCCAAGCGCATAAGTTCGATTACATTTATTTAATAGTTACCACTTCAGCGAAACGCTATGAATAAGGTGACGAGCTATAGCGTTGTTGAAGACTCTTCCATGTGTCAGTTGTAAACTTCTTGAAATATGCGCAGACATGCAGTCAAAAACACTTGGATTTTACATGTGAACTAGAATATGCTGAAATAATTAATGAACATCAACTGGCAGTAAAAGTGACATGACTAAGCCACCTTGCCTTCAACTAACACAGAAAATCACGATCACAAATTTGACTACAAGAATATAGAAATAGTCCAAAGAGAAGGTCTCAAGGCTGCAAGGAAATTTGTCAAAGCATGGCAGCCTTGAGAAAAGTCAATCAACAGACATATGGATATAGACCCAACCTACAATCTACTTAGGAAGAGAAGAAAGATCCATAAACTGAGGTGAACTTGACCACACAATCTCAATGTAACAGTCTTCTACTAGCTTGACTAGAAGGATTGTGAGGTGAAAGAGGTCAAGATGTGACAAAAATCTCTTCTCCAATATCCAATTGGACAACACCCTTGGACACTAAAGTCACCACCTAAATATTCGTGTAACAATCAAATATGCTTCAATTGTTGATAAAGTTAGTGCTGAAGAATGTCACCAAGCCTTATGATGAAGCATCCACAATAAAACATTGGAGCTCAAAGAACATCGAACCACCTTCAACTAGTATATGCAGTTGAAGGTAACATTAAGAGGTAACTGGGAAAATCTCGGTTGTCTCAATGAGTGATTCGTTTGACCAACTGTAATTAACGTAACAAGTAGATAAGTCCGTTGTAAGGAAGGAATCAATCTTCAATTAATTCTAACACACACACACACACACATCATCATCATCATGAATGTTGAAAATATTCAACTCATGATGACAGGCTTCTCTTCGACTACACCATACACTTCACCAGTTTCACTTCGTATAATTTTGTACTCCTTCATGAATATTTCGATATTCTTTCTGTAGGGGGTTGTAAACAGTTGACAGTCGACAGTCGACAGTTGACACTTGATACCACCAAAATGATGATGGATCCATTTGTATCCTGCTACCACATTGTTGTTCTCACTATCTTCGAATTGACCATCAACAAAACTGGCATTACAACCACCATCAGGGAAAACAACAACTCCAATCCTCAACACATCTAAATGCATGTATCAATTCGAATGTGTATGAGGAAGCGAACAGATTGACTGTAGGAAAGGTGGGGTGTGTCTGCACGAATGATTGACCACATTCGCATATAATAACTGAAGTGTGCGAAGATCAGGACACAAGGGGATTGGACAACGAAACACTTAATCGACTATGGGCATTATACTGATACTTGTACGTCGTTTACGGTTATCAATGGACAGGAGAATAAGATGCAGCTTGAAATTGTAGAAGCCTGTGAGATTTGGGTGGTCGGAGCGAATCTCAGCACTGAGAATTCAATGGTAGTCAGCTAGAATGTGGCATGGTAGAAATTACAACGTGGTCTCATCACATTCACTCTTGCTCATTTCTTCACTCCCCTCATTCATCACCCATATTTTAATCAACATTATTCCAATTCATACTCTCATCATTATCCTTCTTCATCTCAATATACACATGGATTTCTTAATTTGTTGCCTAGACAATATTCACTGTTTCAATACATCACAATATATGCAGTCTGATTGGCTCATAATCCAACTGAATAAATTATGGAGTGGATAAAACAAAATAATCAACATTGAACAGGTCAATTTCACTAATACTCAACTCAATGGAATCGATGAAAATTTGACAAAATGCAACATTATTCCTCTACATTCCTTACACTTTGAGAATAGACGACGATGAATCAGACTTCAGAGGCTGTTGCTACTGCCACTGCTACAGCATTCATCAATCTACCATTTCGAATAAGTATCACATCTGTCAGTCTGCTCGCTACAATATTCAATGTGACAGCGATAATTGTTGTCTTCAATTCATATTTCGGTTCAAAATTTACCAACTTCATTTTGAAAGCTCAACCAATTATCGACTTGACTGCATCCTTATCAGCAGCAATATTCTACATAGTTCAGTCTACACCATATCCCAATGAACAGACAGGAGTGTATATTATCGACTTGCTCATTTGTCATTTCTGGTTCCGAAATGCTTCATTCTGGTTTCCCTGTATCCTGAGTGTACAAAATCTTGTTTGTATATCAATTGACCGATTTACTTCTGTGGTATTCCCGATAGTATACAAAACCAACTCGAACAGATTATTTGTATTCTACTTTCTGTATTTGACAACGATGTTGTTGATTTTGTATCCACCGACGCCACTGTTCCGTCGATACACTGAATATCAATGTGTAATGGATTATTCGTTTCCATGGATGCAAGATAAAATATTCCTAGATTTCGCTGTATATTCATGGGTTGTATTCGCTTATACGTTGCCAGTGTTAGTAATGATCATTAGTCATGTGTGGGTAATACACAGTATTCGACGGTCTCAATCACATCGACACACTTCAGTGTCATTGAGTTCTGATGGTTGTGTACAGATAAGAAAGAAGGTGAAACAATTGGTGGTTACAACTGCAATCATGTCTAGTCAACAGGCTGCACTACACTTTTTCGAGTGTCTTCAGCAAATACTAGTTACAACAGGTGTTATGAGTTACACATATGGCAATCCTATTGAACAAACATCTACACTACTCTTACTGTTTAGCTGTTTGTTAAATCCCTGCATACTGGTCCTGACAACAGCTACTTTGAGAAGACGTTTGTCGATATCAGTGAAGAGGATAACAGATAAAGTGAGTGTTAGCAGTGGGCGAGTTGGAATGACTTCTGGTCCAATCAGTTCTGGACAACTCACCACTGTAGACTGTGATCGTTAGAGGTGTGTAAATATGTCGATTCCTATCGGTCAACAAACTGATCATCTAGATGTTCTGCATTGTAGAAAAGCTTTGTTTTAAGCATTATGTTAACATGTATTAAATGGGTATATCCATCAACTGTTTTACAGTTACACAATGAAATATTTTGCTTTGACTTCTTGACAAGGCAATCAATTCACTGGAGTCACAGTTAGGAGTATTGTGAAGAATTATCTTCATGAATAATCAGTTGTAGAAAAGATTTTGCTTCGTGCATAGAAAATGGATAGTTGAAGTAAAGGAGGAATGGCAGATTTTATTTGGCTACTCACAATGATTATTCCATTTGTACACAACATGCTCACACTCACTCACACACAGAGTCATACAGACACATATTTCTCACTATTTCTCGAAATTGATTTTTCTACGCAAATATCACCGTTTATCAAGTTTGGAGGATCAAGAACAAACACTGAAACAGAACAATATATATTTATATATCCATTTTATTATTCCGGTGGTTTTCCTCAGTAGCTGCCATCCTTATAGTGTTTACGATAACATATTACAATAAAATATTACTAGTATGCTTTATTTTAATGAAAGCAGTCGAGACGAGATAATGACATGGCAAGTAAGTAAGCAAACCGTCAGCATTGATGGAAGGTCGAGCGAGATGTTATGTAATGTTGTGATGAAATTATAGATATCCAGTGTGGAGGTTAGTGAGACTTATATTTTTTCAAGTTGAAATTCATCATGGGCTGATATCAACCGGTGGACCACTGAGCTACGATAGCCACAAACATAAACTGAAAAAGAAAGACTGAAATACCCTCGGAAATGATGTGCATGTTTTCTTGTAGTAAGCAATGAGCCACGCCTACTGTGTGAAGGCGAATGATACTACCTAGTTACCTACTATTACATGGGTAAGATGGGGTTCGAACTCAAGATTTATTGGTTGAAAGTTAATTGATCAAATCAATAAACCATAGCACCACGCAAATATGAATATAAGCTGACTTTGTCAGCATCATTATCCTTGTCATCATCCTCTAGATCAATGTCATCACCATCATCTTCATCAGTGTCAGCGTCGACATCTTCAACATCACCATTGTTGGTGTATGCTTCAAAAAACCGGTGGAGCCAACCAACTCGGATGTGAGAATTGGTACTCAACGATGGTATTGGATCAAAGTTGCACCATATTACAAACTGACAGAAATAGGAAAATATAGACCATGCGACCCCGTCACTGTTACTCACTGACGAGGTCCTCAGAGTGGGATTAGGTGAACGTACATCCAATGGCTGACATAGTCATGGGTGGACACAAATCATGTGTCTGAAAAGTGGGTGAAACAACAATTCAGTACTCACAGGTTTCCAACAACCTTCCAAATGATATCATTGGATGAGAATATCAGTTTGAAGGACATGTATGTGTTGTTTATTTTAACTGAAGTTCTCATGAAATCGAGATGAGGCAGAGAAACGAATTGTGTAGAATTGAGAATAAGAGATTGTGTAAGTCGATGAGTAGATGAGTGGAAGCTGAATGTGTTCTATGATTGGGATAGTTGAATACTGACGATAGATTCCATTAGATAATACAGAAATCTGTAGTCAGGCATTTGATTATCATGGCTTCACATGAAGTGAAGACGATTTCATTGATTCACTTTGTTGATTAATTTGAATGATTCAATAGGATATCTCCTCGATTTTCTTCCTATGTTTGTATCATTATCTAGACAGACTGTGAGTAGAATTCATCAAAGCAATGAAGCAATCAATCAATCCATTTCTGTTCTTCTTCTCCAATAGTTTTGTTCTGTAGCATTTGAAAATTGATTTTGTGTTTCCACAACGAATCTACTTAGACTAGTTAATAAAGATTGGAATTCATTGAAAAATTTGTGATTATATTGATGAATATCCATGTTATATTGATCTTAGTGACTGATAGGGTTATCCAGGATGCGTGCTTAATCCTTTTCGGGACTCGACAACTGGATGCACTGTCACCAATGAGAGTGGTGTTGCTCTCACCAAGGGCCAGACGATGAATGTGTTACCCATTGAGCCAAATGAGGCGTGAATACTGGCTCTTGCACAACAGTTCTTAGTTGTTGTGGTGATACCTTTGGTTTACCGTCACTATAGAAGGCTGGCTAAGTGGATAACACATGTGAACTGGATTCGAGACTTCCGCGGGGACAATATCACTCATCGGGGTGCAGGTACATCCAGCTGATGACTCCCAGATAGAACGAAATATACATCCTAGATGCCTCTGCTAGTCACCGAAATCGGCATAACATCATGAAGATGAGGGATTATCAAGGCAATCGCATAGGATCCCATCTGTTAACAGTGGTCAAGCAACTTGGCTCCGTATAGCAACAAGAAATTACAATTATCATTACTATAATAATGAAACCAGTGTGGAGATCTGCACTCAGCATGCGGAACAAGATACGGATTTTCAACACCAACGTCAGTCAAGTCGGTGCTTCTGTATGGTTCAGAGACTTGGCGCATCACGAAAGGGATTTCCAATAAACTACAGACATTCATCAACAACTGCTTACGCTCGCTACTGAAGATCAGATGGATTGCCAGAAAGAATAAGCAACAAGGAACTCTGGGAACGAACCAACCAAGAACCTATCACGCAACAAATATGCAGAATGGGGAAGTGTAGATGGATTGGGCATGCACTGAGAAGGCCGACTGGGGACATCACGCATCAGCCAGTTGCTCGAGTGGAATCCCCATGGGAAGCAACGAGTTGGACGTCCGAGGCGAGGGTGACATGGAGGAGGTCGTGAGAGGAGGAAATGAGAGCTTCTGGGCTGTCATGGAACCAGGTTGAAAAGATCTCAGAGAACAGAGGTCACTAGAGACGTGCTACTGAAGCCCTATGTTCCACTAGGAACCCAAGGGACTAATAATAATAATAATAATAATAATTGATATCCACTTTATATTCTTCTTCTAAAAAATTCATTCAACCTGCATTCACTCTTGATTATTCAAAATCTCAGTTATGTAGAGCAGAATTCGACAATTTGTATTGGAAATGTGAAGACTGTCTGTCTGCTGTGCAAGATACGTTATGATGATGATGAAAACTTGTCACCTGAGTGAAATACATCGTTACAGTGCGTGATTAACACTCATGAATTGGATGTTAGTGAGCAGCAAACTCTCTTGAATAGGCTTTTGCGACTAACTACATTGCAAATAACCTGTATATTCAACTCAAAGTAATTTGACTAGTTGTATTGTAGTTAGAAAACACAGATTTAAGTAATGTGTAACATGATACCATTGGGGAAACCAATTACAGTTATCATTCATTCTGTAGATGTTCTGATGCCGGAAACGAGCCACTTAGTGAAAGGAGGAAAATATGGAAGACTAAGAAAGAAGCAGTGGCAAGAGATGATCAACTGATCTCAAGTGTAGACCTATTCAATTCAGAATTTTTGAATACCATGCAGATGAGTATAACAGTACTTCATATCTGCACATACTAAATGAAATTTCATATTGGATATTATGTATGGTTTGATTTCATCCAGAAATATCCTAAACAACTTTAAGGCATGGACCACTTTCCTTGGAACATTGACATTACTAGGCGAACGTATTCCTTGTCATATCAAAATCATCATTCCTTGAAACTCTTGAATCAAATAAATATCATAATACGTCTTTAAATGCAGTTTATGGAAGAAATAGAGAAAAATAACAGAAAACTGATTGATTTTTGTTAAACAAGCATCCTTCCTGTTCCTGATAAACTATCAAGGTAACTAATAGCACTAACAACGATTATGGTATGTGTGTTAGTGCTTGTTTCTTTCATGTAAAAATCCTTCGAAGCCTGATGACACTTCTGTAAGTCAACCATTAGAAATAAAAGATAAGTAGTTATATTTCATAGAAAGAAGATAAACTACCATTTATTAAAATAAAGGAAATGCTTGTATATTCGAAATTGAAATGCAAAGATGATTGAATAAGTTAAATAAACTGGGAAAATCAACTTCGAACCTGGTAAACAGGTGAATCTGTTCAAATTGTTACACTCTATAGAAGTAGTACACAAATACTTAGTGGATATCAGAGCAGACAAAAATGTATGAATGTCAGCTGAAGAAATAATAAAAATGAAGGTTAATCAAAATATTCAAGCTTTAGAAGATATCAAGAAGTAAATACACCTGCATAGAATATCAGAATGTCAAATCCCTGCCTTAACTTCATCGACTTTGAAAAAGCCTTGGATTGAGGCGTCAACCGAGAAGTAATTTGTTGGCAACTGCTTCAATACTACACTTTTAGTGCAACAAACATTTATCAACCTCATTCAACAGCTATATGGTGATGATGATGTGATGCTACATGCGAAGTGATTCACAATGCAAAGCTCAGTGATGACCTTGAAGTGAAGTGGAGTGAAGACAGGTTGACAGGTAACACAAGGTTGACGCCTACTATCACTAATCGTCACTCTGATTGTGGTCGAATGGAGTGAACTGGATGATGAAAGAAACAACTGTGAGGAGTGAGAAGATGGAAATACGCTGTTTGTTCGATGAAATGACCCTAGAAGAAGATTTAAATTTCGCCAACGATGATGATTGATTTCAAGTTGTTATTCATCGTAGACTGACATCAGTTGGAGGAACAAAGGAAACCTGGGGGCACTGGAGAGGTGTTTCGTCCAACTAGTATGGGACTCCTCAGCAGTGCGCACCCACGAACCCCATCCCCCAGGGATCGAATCAGTGACTTCCAGGTTCCGAGGCCAGCACGCTGCCATTGAGCCACTGGGTCAGAATCCAATACTCCACATTTCCAACTTCTGTTAGCTCACGATATAGCGTAACCGCCACCCAATGTCATCGTTGAGTAACTGTCCTCACGACCATAAGGCTTAACTCCACCGGTCACGACTTCTCACTGGAACTTCGGAATACTTCACGAAGCACGTAGAGAGAGAACGTAGGCAGGCAGGCAGGCAGGCAGCATCGTCCCAACTACAGGAGGTTGTGGTAGCAAAAGCACAGATTACGATATCAGAGCAAGTCTAGATCGGAAATACAGCAAGACAAGCCTTCCTTCACTAATCTGAAATGA